CCTAAGCGCACATCGCGGGCGGTCAGCCCCGGGGAGAAGCGCCGCTGCTGCGTCCCGAGCGCCCGGGCAGCCGAGTGCGAGCGGAGCGGAGTTGGCTGCAGCCTCACCCGCGGCCGCTCACTACTCCTCTGTCACCGAGAGGCGCCGCTCCCGGGCGGAGCCAAGTCCCGGCCTGGATTACGCACGGCGGACTCTCCTCCTGCGACCCCGCCTACTTGGGCTGGCGTCTTCTCCGACCCAAAGGAGAGCTGTGCTGTTTGTGTGTGAATGTGAGCGAGCGAGTCGGAGAGAAAGAGCCTTCGCTGTGTGGCGGCAGGTGGAGCCTTGGACCGACCGGCCCGCGAAGCTTCCTTCTCTCGCGATTCCTGCCCCCCTTCCCCCTTCCCCCCGAGGCGCGCTGGGAGGAGGTCCCGGAGGGGGGCGACTCCGGCAGGAGCCCAGCCCTTGCCTCCCCCACCCCCGCATCTGCTCTAGCGAGGGGAAAAAAAATAAATAAAAATCCAGGACAGCATTGCTGAGTCCTGCCAAATCAGAAAAATAAATAAAAATAGACGTAGCGCAGGAGCGAGTTACAAGAAAGGATTTGTACATCGATTTTCTTAAATGGAAAAGTTTTAAAGCATGAGCCTAAGTGAACAGCGAGCCTTTCTAATTCTGATTACTGTATCAAAAGGTAGATTCCAGAAGTGATGGACGCTCTACGCACCCAGGTGAATCGGATAGAGGCCGGTGCGGCTAAAATACACTTGGAAGATACGAATGCAGCTATGAGCGAACGCACACACAACACGTTAATAAAGCAGGTTAAGTACGCAAATAAACCGTAGCACAGAGAATGGTGTTAACCACGACGATTTGCTTTAAAATTTAGAAAGTGTGCAGACTGTTCTCAGAAATAAACTTAAGATATAAAACGCAAACAATTCCAATGAGAATCCAGCGGTTTCGTGGAGAAAGCAAATCGCAACTTCTTCCAAGGCGCTATTGTTAAGTGATCTCACGGAGAATGGCAGACAGAGCCTGCCTCCATCGCTCGAACTTTCATTCGCCAAAAAGCCTTGGTGTTAAGGCTCCTGACAACTGGTCGGACCACAGCAATTCCCCCAAACCCGGCCATTGCGCGCTCCCGGCCGCGCCCGCTCGCGCTGCAAACAGCTGCGCGCCGAGGCTGATGCTTCCCCAGTGGGCTTCGCGGACGGTGCGGGCCGTACCCGCAGCCTTTAAAGAAAGTAACCCGGGGCGGCCGAGCAGTTCTCGGAGCAATATTTACCAGCCATGGGGGTCGGCCGAGAAAAGCACTGGGAGGGAGATTGGGGTCTCAGTCACCCTAGGCCTAGTGCCCTCAAATAAATGCATGAGAATCTGTACCTGTGCCCCCAGTTGGGGACGGCGTCGCTATTAAGTACCTGTTCCCTTTTGGGTGAGTCCGGCTGGGAGCCCAAGTTACGTACAGACATCTGCTCATAAGTATAAGTGCACACGCGACAACACCATATATGTGATATATAAATATTATTATTATTATTATTTCCACAACCCACCTGGAACAGGTGGGGATGTGGTTGAGGAGGAAAAGTCAGTCTCTGCCGTTCGCCAGAGCTGCCGGCAGGGGCCGCTTTCCCCATCCTTTCCCAAGCAAAAGCCGCT